TCGACGATACACCCTAATATACAAAGTTATTGTGCATCCTCTTTTGACACGTTTTTGCTATAATAGGCGGATCCAGGCGTCCAAAAAGGGGGGTTATGTTTTACCTCCCAACATAGGTGCCCTGACACCGCCTATGCATGACCAATACAATTGTAGTCGTTCTCTCATAAGAAAATTGTAACACAACAAGACCATTACCACCCTTTTTAGAAACAGTACCAACAATCACCTTATTTACTATACTTTTTGTGTACCCCCAATCTCAATGATCTGTATCCGCCTATGATTTTTGAAAATGCATATTCTTAGGATCCATGTGAATTCCTGGTTCATTCTCTATCGATCGGCAAAAGTTGCGCTAAAATTGGCTCAGAAACCTGGCCGTGATAAACAGTCTAAAATGTATCTGCAATTTGCCCATTTTTGCCCACTCTACCCCCTATTGACATTTTTTAAATTTTTACTTTTTAGAAATGTAGATCACGTTGAGCGAAATCGAATGCCGTTTGAATTTTGAAAATCGGCCCGCTAGATCTCGAGATATCAAGGGGGTCGTAAACAGCCCCCCCCCCTGCCACTAATAGGGGTAACCAGGAGCCTGCCACTAATAGGGTTAACGGGTTCAGCACCAGGGCATCTGGACCAGGGCGCTCGGCATCTAAATCGGCCATCCCCCGGTATCTGAAGACCTTACCATGAAGCTGAGGCCGCTAAACCTCAGGCTGCAACCCTGACTTTATACCGTCATCCAGAAAAGATGCAGCTGGATTTCGCCAAGACCCACCAAATCTGGACCATTCAGGACTAGAGATTCAGACTTTTTCAGTGATGAGGCGATATTAGAGCTTTTCTAAGTCACTAACCATCCCGACAAACAGTTCTGTGCCAACAGCAGCTCAGAGGCGCTGCACCGTCGAGACAGTGAAGCATCTACTGGCGATTCTCGTTTGGGGCATGATGGGCTACATAGGCCTCTTTGAGCTTCACCATGTGCCGCAGGGACAGACCACGTGGCCGGTGATAACTTGTCAGCGAGGTGCTGGAGAACACTGACGCAACTACGAGCAATCAATTTCGGGACACAAGTACAATATCCCGCAACAATTTCGTAACACCCTGTATTCGTGACACCCCTGTATTTGGGCTCAGGCTCAGGCTCAGTGGAACGTTTATGGTCAACGCCTGAAGTCAACAAAAACGGTGGAATATATGGAAACTCAGGCATTTTGCAAAATGCCTGGCGGGTCAGGCATTTTGTAAAATGCCTAGGCAGTTTGCAAAATGCAGTGGCGTCACCACGGTTTCAGAACTTCTAGGGACACTTTTCCAGAGCGTCGCCACAAACCTTTGCTTGAGTCTGGTCGCCAATACCAACCTACCCCCAAATCTGCATTCCCCGTTGGATTTCGGCCACTCTAATTTTAAAACGAGGGAGGATAATTAATGTTTAGTTGGAAAAAAAACGAAGAAGTTACGCGGTAGTAGGCATTATCTTCGATCATGAAACGCGTGCCCACATCCTTCTGCCTATGCATGCAGGGACGATCGCAGACTTGGCGTTTGCCGGGGGCAATTTGGCAAAGAGGCCCTGTCGACCCTCGGGAGGCCCAGTGCTAGCTTGCAGGGGTCCCATTATTACCATACCGGCCTTAAAGGCCGCTATGGGGCCCCAGAGGCCAGTGTGGGCCCTCAGAGGCCAGTACATGACGCTCAAAGGCAAGTCTTGGGCCCCCAGAGAACAAAATAGGGCCATCAGTGGCCGGTTTAGTGACCCAGAGGCCAATGCAGGCCATAAAAGGGCCGGTATCGGATCTTCCAAATCCAGTGCGGGACCCTGAGAGACTAATATTGGCCCTTACAGGCCAGCATGGGGCCTCAGAGGTCAGTGTAGGGTCCTAAAAGACCGGCATGGGCCAGCGTTGGACCCCAGAGACCAGCAGAGTGCCCTCAAAAGCCAAGATTGGCCCTCAGAGGCTGATGCGGGCCTTTAGAGGCCGTCATTGGGTCTTCAGAATCCAGTGCGGGGCCCTCAGAGGCTAATATGGGCCTTACAGGCCAGCATTGGGGCATCTGGGGTCAGTGTTGGGTCCTAAAAGACCGGTATGAGCCAGCGTTAGATCCCACAGACCAGCAGAGGGCCCCAAAGGCCAAAATAGGCCCCCAGAGGCCGATGCAGGCCCTTAGAGGCCGGCATCGAGCCTTCAAAATCCATTACAGGGCCCTCAGGAGTCAGGGACACGTAAGGTTAGTCTTGGTACCCCAGAGACAGAAATGCCACCAAAGGCCGATGTGAGGCCCTCACGACGCCGGATGGGCCCCTGAGGCCGGCTTAGGGGCTCTTAAAGGCCAGCGGTGGGCCCTCAGAGGTCAATGCGTGTCCTCCACGGTCAATGTGGGCGCTTGACCACCACGGAAGGGCCCTCAGAGGTCAGTGTAGGGCCCTAAAAGACCGGTATGGAGCTGTTAATAGCTGGCATGGGTTTCTTTGGCCTCGTGACAATCGAATAAGGGCCGGGGCCCCATCGCTTGTTTTTTTTTGGGGTGGGGGGGGGGCAAATTATATGATGACCCCTGATTTTCCCTTGGGGGGGGGGCATGGCCCTGATGCCTCCCCCCTCTACCCGCCGTCTCCGATCCCCATTCCGATGTTCCAGAGGGAATTGATTTAGGAAATGTTGGCTTGACCAGCGGCCGACCCAGAGCGGCGGCCCAGTACTGCCCTGATCCTGACCTCCCGCCGGGTCCACGCAGACTGTGGCGACCAGCCCCTCATACAGCTGAGTCTGCCCCAGCTCGAAACCAGCGGGCAGCTGCATATCGTCATCGGTCGGGTTTATAAGCTGGACCTGTATGTAACCAGCCGAGTTCGTTTCAGCAATCATGCTGGGCACCTCCAGAATCGGCTCGGGTGTCTCCTCGGGTGACTGGGAAACAAACTCGACCAATTTCTCGGTCGAGTGCCGGCCTGCCGTATCCAGCTTTACCAGGGCCTCCTCTAAGGATTTTTCACTGGGTGGGCAAAATTTTCGCAATTCCCCTGCCCAAAGGCGGACCCAGCCACTTGTTTTGGGGTCCAACCAATTTCAAAACCTGTGACCGGGCGGAGGGTGCGGGGGTGAGGCGAAATAAGCTAAGCTGTGCCATTTTTTACCAAGCTGATTTTTTTTGCCAAGCTGATTTTTACCTTGTAAGACCGATGAAGAGCAGTGCTCGAAATATAAGGGGAGGGGCTCTTCATAGCCCCCCTCCTAACTCCGAAACTACTGGGCCGATCGTCAAAATTCAAACGGCGTCTGATTGCCCCGGAAAACTGTCGGGCGAAACCTAATTTCATTGACCTCGAGGTCACCGATGACGTCAGAGGTCAGGTCAAAGTAAAAATTATTAGCATTTTGGCTTGTTCACATTTTGGGCTCTGGCCGCCGTCTTACAAGTCAGATCAAGCTCATTTTTGAGTTACACACTCGTGAACAGATGCTTTAGATACCCTCAAGGTACCAAAATTTTACTTTGATTTTCAGGTCAGGGTCAGGTCATCACAGGTCACGGAAATATTATATCATGCGTCGGTCAGGTGACACATGTTTTATGGTCCATTTAGGCCATATATGTATTTCGAATTTGATGTCGTTTGTGTCATTTGAGGTCATTTTGAGTTGAATTTAGCTTAGGTCAGGTCACTTTCAGGTCAAAAAAGGTCAAATTTTGAAGTAAGAACTTTTCAACAAAAAAGTGTCTATTGGATGCAGTTTGAGCTCAAGAACACGATGGTGCTATTTATATTGGTGTACGATGTCAAAAACGCACTGAAAATTGATTTGAAAAAAAAAATATTATTGTGAATTTTTTTTTTTGCAATAATGCGTATAATTTGGCCATTTTTTTAATTGAAACTTGCTAGTGTAAGTCATAAGCATGTGTTCTCTCACATATATTGTTTTTTTCGAAAAGTAAAAAAGTTTTTGAAAAAAAATAAAAGTTTTGATTTTTTTTCTCAAATTTTGAAAATTTTGAAAATCCCAGATAGCAGTTTGATAGCGCAGTCTCTTCTGAGTCCTTTCATGCAAATAAATTGGATCTAGCTTAAAAACTGAGCTCTTGGGAGCGATTGCCGTGGTTCAATGTTTTGCGTCGAAATCGGCCGAACATGACGTCACTCTGGCGTCATTTCCGGCCGACCTATGGCAGTTACAAAATTCATATTTTGACACAAGGTGTCAAATTGATGCAACCGAAGGTACTGAAAGTTTGGCTTCTATACGTCAAGCCGTTTGGAGGTTATTGCAGAAAAACGGGAGGGGGCTATGAATACCCCCCCCCCCCCCCAGTGGGGCGCGGGTTAAGACCGGAAATGTATAGTACCGGACGTCCTGCCGGACCTTTATTTTTTATTTGCTTCTGGGTGGGCAACTCAACGCCACTGGGTGGGCAATTGTGGTGACTTGGTGGGCATTTGCCCACCCAGCGGGTATGTTAGAGGAGGCCCTGAGCTTTACGGCGACCACACGGACGTGCCTGGAGGCCACCGTCACATCTGTGGGTAGGCACACCGCTCGCGGGCCTTTTTATTTACCGTGGCGATGTTGACGCGACCGTTCACAACATGTGTTCGGAGAGCTCAGCAAGTTGCGCCATTATCGTGTCCCGGGTTCTTTGCGTGTCCCCAGTAGAGGGAACTCCAAAAACTTCTAGGGACAATCCCTAGTAGTTTTCGATGATTTCAAAACTTCTAGGGACAATGTCCCTAGTGTCCCTAGTAGTGGTGACGCCCATGGCAAAATGCCTGGTGGGCCTGGCATTTTGCAAACTGCCTAGGCATTTTGCAAAATGCCCGGGTTTTCACTTTGCCTGTAACATAGATAATCATTTAGGTAAACATTTCAACATCCATGTAAAAAGTATTTCAACAAGAAACATTGCAATTCATTGTTTCTTAGTCACAGCCATGTGCTTAATGACAGACGCACACAACTCGCAATGTCCTATCCAATTGCATCTGCTCAAACCACGCAGACCCGAAATGGAGAGCAGAGGTCAGTTACCTTCAGGTCATCCTCCACCCTCTGCTGGTCGGCCAGCGCCTGGTTCAGTCGGTCCTCCAGTTCGCGCACCTGAGCCCTATCCAGTGGCACCTGCGTCTCGACGCCCTCCTCATGCTCTCGTGGCACCAGCCTGGCGGCCAGATACGGATAGTGTTACGCAGCAGCGCGTTCCGCGCACAACCGAGACAAAGCCACATATAATGACCCGGTAATGAGAGGTTGTACACTTGGATGCCTTCATTTCTCGAGTTTAACCCGGACGGCGGTGGACCTTCCAGCCACCTTCAGCGCGGGGGGGGGGGGCATTTTTGTCCCCCCTGTATCTCCAAAACTACTGGACGGATCCGTAAAATTCAGACGGCTTTCGATAGCCCTGTCAAATTTGTGCAGGAAAACCAAGTTTCATTGACCTCGGGGTCACCAATGACACCACAGGTCAGGTAAAAGATAAAATGTTTCACCGTTCACGGGTCTTCTAGGGAATGTGCTATAAAACCGGGTAAAACGCATTTTGTCGAAAATCAGCGATAGGGCGTCAGTTGCCTAGTACATATGTTGCTATTAGAGGTCACTGATAATACCAGGTCAGGTCACAGGTCAGGTCACCAAGGGTCAGCTCATGAAGTTATGAACCCAACTTTACTAAGGTTGTGCGATGCATGTTTTATGGCCAATTTTTCATTTCCAACTCAATGGTGGTGGTTATAAGACCATTAGGTACGGTTTAGGTCATTTTCTGGTGGAGGTCAGGTCAAGGTCAGGTAAAAAAAGTCAAATTTCAAAGTTGATATTTTTGCATAAAATGGGTATTGGCTCGATGCACCTCGTCACTGGAGGTCTAATGGTGGTTTTGTTTTGCGCCACGAGGTCTAGAATTGCTAAAAATTGAGTTTAAAAATTTGACGTCATTAATTTTAAAGAATCATAGCATGACTCGAACACACGCTGGGGGGGGGGGGGGCAAACACACATTGAAAGGGTCTAGTGGCTGGGAGGGGGCGGCGGGCAGCGGGTAGGCAAGGCCGGCGGGGGCAGCAGGCGCTTGCCCGCAGCCAGCGACGAGTGCACCTCACACGACTGCATCGACGACGGTAGCAATGCCTCAATAGGGGCGGCAGCAGCAGCCGACCGGCGGTCGGCGGGTCAGCAGCGGGCGGCGTCAAAAGTCTCTGGTGCGGCGGCGGCGGATGTGCACGGCGGATAAGTATGGATGGATGTTGGAAAGTAGAGGATCTAGCGGTAGTTATCCTAATATATTTAAAAGCGTACCCCACTTCTCTATTACCTCTCCCATCGCCTGTCGCTTGAGAGCGGCGCCCTTTTCTTTCATCGCTTCAGATTTTAGTAGAGAAATGAATAATTGTTTACTATGCGCTTGAGATTGGTATTTTGCTGTTGTAATTGTATATTTAAACAAAGTTATTATTAATATTTGTATTTTACTTAGCTTCTCTATTGTAGGGAAGAAGAAGTTCGCAGTGTCAATGCAAATTTCCACGCGAAATTCTTCCCTTGACCCTCGCCCCGTTGGGGGGGGGGCATTTTGGCCCCCCTGTGGTTTTTCCTGAATAGCAAGAAAACGGCGGCGCGCAGCGCAGCCAAATTTTCAGTACCTTTCCGGGCATCAATGTGACACCTTCACACCAAATTTCAAGTCTTAGGTCACCTTAGGTCAGGAGTTATTGAGGTCAAACTGAGGTCATGTTCGAGCAAAAATGAGCAAAAAACATGCAATCTTGAAACGCTCACCAAATCTACAGTTATCAAGCAATTTCAAAGTTCTTTATATGTGTAACGATAGAGACATAGTTTGTCGGTCTCTGGAAAGGGTTTTGTCGATATGGCCGCATTTGGCAGCGCGTGCGCCATTATTTTGTGTTGGTGCGCCATGGTCGTGGCGGTTGAGTGGCGTGGACGGGGCGTGTGGCCCGATGGAACTGTTGTGGGACGACGATTTCGAAAATAAAAACGAAAAAGGATTACGTGAAGACGTAACATCAGCGGTGGGATGTGAATTATCCATACTCTGAGGAGAAATCAAGGGATTGGCATTTACGTTACGTGCATATGAGTGGAGTAAAAAGTGAACGGGAGCCAGAAGAACCGAAGGTGACGAGTGGGTTAAAATCTTTAGAACAAAGTGCTGATTGTTCTGTTAAAATGGAGGGTGCGATGATGAAACCAAAAAGCTACCAGGGGGAAGACCCTGAAAGTTATTTGCGAGGCTTTGTGAGGCTGGCAAGAGCCAACAAGTGGGATGAGGAGCGTCAGCTAGCCATTCTCCCTGCCCTCTTCTCGGAGACTCATGAATGGCTTGCAAGAGAACTAGAGGATGATGAGCACATAGAAACGCTGGCACAGGCCAAAGAGAAGATATTGGCAAGGCTGATGCCTGCTGAAAAACGTAAAACTTACCTGCATGATTTTTATGAGCTGAAAATGTCGCTGACCGATGAACCCAGGGTGTTCGTCTCCAAGCTGCAGGCTATGATCCGAGCAGCCATGCCTGAGCTGGGCCGTGAGGGTCATGAGCAGCTGGTGTCTGAACAGCTGACGAGGTCAGTTCCCTCACAATGGCGGCTCAGACTCTTGGACTGTGATACGACCACGACGGAAGGACTCATTCGGAGGTTGGAGAAGATAAAGACAACAGAACAGCTACAGAAAGACATGGGAGCCTCCAGTATCATGGTGAGGAAGGTGAACCCGAGTTCAAGTCTGGCAGCTGGTGTCAGGAAGCGAACCTGCTTCAGGTGTGGCAAGGTGGGTCACATTGCCGTGAACTGTCGTTCTGCCAGTGCCTGTCCTCGCCCTGGAGAGGAAAGGCCTCAGCAGTCAGTGACCTCTGGACAGGAGGAGCCCACCAGCCAACCCAGAAGCTCAGCTGGGGTGGAGTGTTTCCAGTGTGGTGGCCGTGGACACTACCGTCGTCAGTGCCCCTCTGCACCAGGCAGTGCCCGTCCCACTTCAAGGACAGTGAGGCGGCTGGGTACTCAACAGCCAGTTGCTGAGGTACGTACTGTGGTTCAGCTGGAAGGAGCCGATGTTCTGGCAGTTGTTGACACTGGCAGTGTGAACAGTCTTCTGAGTGACGAGTTGGCGTCTTCCCTGCACTTGAAGGTGGAACCAGCAGTGGATCGCTTCATTGCAGCCAATGGGACTGTTGTGACTACAGTTGGGAGGTCACAAGTCTGCGTCAACATCGGTGATGTGGAAGCCGTGTCCAGCTTCGTGGTGGTTCGTGACCTCACAGATCCAGCTCTGCTGGGAATGGACATTCTGCAGAAGGTGGGGGCTACTATTGAGTGCGCCTCTGGCAGCCTTGTGGTGGGTGGCAGGAAAATCAACACTGAGCTGCCCATCAAAACAAGAAAACAAGTCTCCTGTGCTGCTAGGTCGGAAACCTTCATCAACATCAGGCGTGTGGCAGCAGAGAAACCTGTCCTCTTCTGCCCAGAAGAAGTTGAAGGAGTGAGTGTGGCATCTGCAGTGCACCTGGCTCACAAGGGCGTTCCAGTCCGGATCCTGAACCTGAGTGAGGAGAAGGTGGTCATCCCTGCAGGCACGGTGCTGGGGACTCAGGAGAGCATCACCGAGTGGAAGCCGCTGGAGGAACCTGAGGAGGAGACAGACCGAAGCCAGGACCCGAAACTGCCATCCGTGGACCATCTGGATCCAGACAACAGGACCCTGTTCCACGAGTTACTGCAGGAGTACAGTGATGTGTTCTCCCAGTCACCTGAGGACATCGGAGACTACAAGGGGGTCATCAGCTGGTCATCAACACCATTGGGAAGGAACCTGTTCGCCAACGAGCCTACCGCACACCTCTCCATCTTCGAGAGCTACTGAAAGAGAGACTGGACGCTCTGCAAGAACAGGGTGTCATCGAAGACTCTACGTCACCCTGGTCTTCACCCATCGTGATGATCAAGAAGAAAGATGGTGGCGTGAGGATCTGCTGTGACTACAGAGCCGTGAACGCCGTCATCAAGCACGACTCCTATCCTCTGCCGAGGATTGAAGATCTACTGCATGCTACAAGAAGGGCCAGAGTCTACTCTGTACTGGATCAACGATCTGCCTACTGGGCTGTACCCATCGCGCCTGAGTCCAGAGAGGTTACTGCATTCATCTCCGAGTATGGCCTCAAGCAGTGGACGCGTCAGCCGTTCGGGCTCAAGACGAGCCCTGGGATGTTCCAGCGGATAATGGAAGACGTACTGGAAGGCCTCAACTGGGAGACAGCAGTGGTGTATCTCGACGACGTCATCGTCTACAGCCCTTCCATGGGAGAGCACCTGACTGCGCTGAAACAGGTGCTGATCCGGTTCCGACAGGCAGGACTGAAGCTGCATCCTGACAAGTGCCAGGTGGCTGTCAAGAAGGTCGACTTCTTGGGGCACCAGCTGGACGAGACGGGGATCCAGCCAACAGAGAGCAAGGTGGAAGCGGTGAAGCACTGGCCGCGACCGAGCAACCTGCAAGAAGTTCGTCGGTTCCTCGGGATGGTAGGGTACTATCGACAGTACATACCACGTTTTGCGGACAAGTCGGTGCATCTGACGAACCTACTTCAAAAGGAGACGCCGTGGAAGTGGACGGGTGAATGCGAAGAGGAGTTCCAGAACCTGAAGAAAGATCTTCAGTGGTATCCGGTCCTGCAGAGCCCAGACCCTGCAGACGACTTCGTGCTCACCACCGACGCGAGCGGCACAGGCTGGGGTGCTGAGCTAGGCCAGTCTACTGGTGTAGTGGCCTTTGCCTCTGGGAAGTGGACCCCAACGGAGAAGAACTGGAGCGTCACCGAGCGCGAGCTGGGTGCAGTGGTGAAAGCCACGTCCAAGTTCCATCACTACCTGGTGGGCAAGCCGTTCCTGCTGCGGACTGACCACGAGGCTCTGAAGTACTTGCAGCGCTCGAAATGCCCATCCGGTCGACAGGTGGATCGAGCAGCTGCAGCAGTACGACTACACCGTGGAACACGTGCCGGGACGCCAGATTCCACACGTGGACGCGCTGTCTCGCGTGTTCGAGATGGGCGCAGGGAAGCAGCAGCTGCGTCCGACGGCACCAGAGTTCGTACCGAGGGGAGGTGCGTCCGGAACTCCAGGGGACAACACTTCCAGGACTCCGGAGGAAGGCGTGTCCAGGACGCAGGACAGCGTTTCCAGATGTCTGAACAGCGGCGTGGACCAGACTGCGGAGAGCGGTGTGTTCCAGACTCTGGAGGAGGACACGGCGGCGACTCTAGTGGGAAGTGCGACGAAAGTGCGAGTAGGAGGTGTGTCTGTCTCTACAACTTCACAGGGAGTCAAGTCGAAAACGGCCGAGGGAGACGTGTCTGCGACTTCGGAGCGGTACGTCCGCCGCTCTACATTGAAGACCCAAGAAACAGCTGAAGACAACAGCAGCGAGACTGCTGAAGACGGCTTGGACGTTCACCTGCTGGGCGACCTGATTGCTGCAACTCGGACAGATCCTGTGCTGTGGCAGCTCATCCAGCATCTGAAGAAACAAGAAGTGAAGACGAACAAGTTGACAGAGGACGAGAAAGCTGAACTGAGGTTCTACACGAGGCTACCAGATCTGCGGCTGTACAACGGCATCATCCGGCGGAGTTCAAGAGGACATCAGCGGCCTCAGGTGATTCTGCCGACAAGTCAGAGACAACGTGCGCTACAACTGGCTCACGATGTCCCGATGGCGGGGCATGGAGGCGTCAGGCGGACTCTTCACCGCCTAACAGCCGGGTTTTTCTGGTACAACATGCAGCGTGAAGTGAGGCGGTACTGCAGAAACTGCTCATCCTGTCAGAAGACCAAACCGAAGTACACGGGCTGCTTGGAAGGTCGAGGAACCATCCCGGTGGAGGGAGAACCGTTTCTTCACTGGTCTGCAGACATCTTGGAGCTCCCTGAAAGTGAAAGTGGACACAAATATGTGCTGGTGATGACTGACCTTTTCAGCAAGTGGATTGAGACTTTTCCTCTCAAGAGACAGACCGCTGAGGATGTGGCGCGGTGTCTGTTACAGGTCATCAGTCGCTTCGGTGACATGAAGAGTCTTCTAACCGATCAGGGGCGAAACTTCGAGTGCGCTCTGATCAAAGGAGTATGCCAGATGCTCGGAGTGAAGAAACTGAGGACAACCATATACCACCCAAGCTGCAACGGGCAAGTTGAGCGGGTCAACAGGTCGCTGCTGGAGCTGCTGACTCACTACGTCAGGGAAGACCAGCGCGACTGGGACCAGTGGCTGTCGGTGGTCACGTCTGCCTACAACTCGAGCTGTCACAGCGCCACAGGTTTCTCACCATGTGAGCTGGTCTACGGAAGACCGATCAAAACCATACTGGATGACGAGTTCAGCGTTGAAAATGTGAAGAACCAAACTCATCGCCAGTTCCTGCTGAAGCTGAGAAATCGGATGAAGCAAACTCAACAGCAAGCCCTGGAGCAGATCCAGAAAGAGCAGAGTCTAAGGACAACCACAAGACCGGCTACGTTCCAACCAGGTGACACAGTTTGGTGTCGGAACTTCACGGCAGGAAAAGGAGTAGGAGCCAAGCTCAAGCCGAAGTTCGAGGGCCCATACGTCGTAGTGGGCGCTCGACCCCCAGACTACGTGGTGAAGAAGGGACGGAAGCGACGACTCATCCATGGCTGTCATCTGAAGACAGGAGTACAGCAGACGACGGGTCGTGACGTAGCAGTCGAAGAGGACGAAGGAGGGAGCGACATGGAGAGGCAGTCGCCTGTCACTGAGGCGACTACTGGTGGACGACCAGTGGAGTGGACGCCCGGTGGATGGCAGCCGGCGCGGGCGGCTGACGAGCAGCTGCCGATGGCGGAGACGGCGGCTGACGAGCGGCTGCCGATGACAGAGACGGCGACTGACGAGCAGCTGCCGATGACGGAGACAGCGGCTGACGAGCAGCTGCCGATGGCGGAGACGGCGGCTGACGAGCGGCTGCCGATGGCGGAGACGGCGGCTGACGAGCGGCTGCCGATGGCGGCTCGAGGACGACCGGCAGCGGCTGGAGGACAGCTGCTAATGACGGGGGCGATGCCTGGCGAGCAGCTGCCCGTGCCGGAGCTAATGGCTGTTGGACGGCGGCCGACAGCACTGACGGCGGCTGAGGGGCTGCCGGTGACGACCGACGAGCAGCGACGGTCTGTTGCGGTGGCGAACGGTTCACACCAATTGGTGAGTGAGAGTGGACAGACAGTGGCACCATCTGTGCGGATGACAGTGGCGCCATCTGTGCCGAGGACAGGGGCACTATCGGGGCCGACGACAGTGGCACCAGCTGTGCAGCCGACAGTGGCGCCATCTGAGGCGAGCGGGACTCCGACGGGTGGTTCGAGAGTGTTTACTCGTTCAGGGCGTGAAGTGCGACGTCCGGCGCGGTTCCTGGACTGATCGTGTGCAGAGAGTGTTTGGAGCGTTACTCCTTGTCCATACTCCCTGTTATAAGTGTCTCGTGTACTCTGCTTGTTTGCGGTGACGATGACGAGTGACTCGTTGGTTAACAGCTTAGAGGAGTTACTTTAGACGTGAGTCCGGTTTAAAGAGAGGGGGGTGTAACGATAGAGACATAGTTTGTCGGTCTCTGGAAAGGGTTTTGTCGATATGGCCGCATTTGGCAGCGCGTGCGCCATTATTTTGTGTTGGTGCGCCATGGTCGTGGCGGTTGAGTGGTGTGGCCCGATGGAACTGTTGTGGGACGACGATTTCGAAAATAAAAACGAAAAAGGATTACGTGAAGACGTAACATATGGTCTACTAGACAAAAAGCGGCGCTACAAAACTGCTATCTCGGATTTTCAAAATTTTGGGTTTTTGACCCAAAAAAATTCAAAAAATTATTTTTTTAGAAAAACTAAAAAAAAATCCAAAATTTTCCCGAATTTCGAAAAAACCGGAATATATGTGATAGTCCCTGCGCTCTTCTATATACATACCAAATTTCAGATCGATATCTTGTTTTTTGGCCAAGTTATAGCGAAAAAAACTGTTCAAAAATGATGACGTCAAATTTTTGAACTAAATTTTTAGCGATTCTAGACCTCGTACGGCAAAACAAAGACCACCATTGAACTCCCCGTGACGAGCTGCATCGATTCGATACCCATTTTATGCAAAAATATCAACTTTGAAATTTGACCTAGTTTGACCTGACCTTGACCTGACCTTGACCAAAACGTGACCTAAGCTGGCCCCAAAGGCTGCCTGACCCACATAATCGCATTTGTCATGTAAAATGGACCATAAAACATGTATCACACGACACTTTCATATTGTGACCCCCCAGTGACCTGACCTCAGTGACCTGACCTGGTATCAGTGACCTCAACTAGCAAAATATGTGTTTGAAGAACATTTCCCCATCGATGATTTTCAATGAAATGCATTTTACTCGATTTTACAACGCATTTCTTGAAATGCCTGTAAACGGTGAAAATTGGACCTTTGACCTGACCTGTGACGTCATCGGTTTGACCTAGGTCAATAAAATTGGGTCACAAGGTAGTTCCCTGATAGGGCTATCCAACACCGTTTGCCGTTTGCGCTACGTTGCGTGGTTCTCGAGATCTTAGGGGGGGGCCAAAATGCCCCCCCCCCCCCCCAACGGGGCGCGTTGCTCGGCAGAGCCCAACGGGGCGCGGGTTAAGTAAGTTTTCGTCTCTGATATGAAATTTTGTACAATAGCACAATCCCACAGCATGTGTTTAAGAGTTTCTTCATTATTCATGCAGAAAGTGCATCGCACGTCATCTGCTATCCCGATTCGTTGTAAGAATGTATTTGTAGCTATTATACGGTTTGTTATGCGGTAGTGTAAACTTTGTAGATACGTATTATTTGTTGAAGCTAGCACGTCATGCATGGTTGCATGATTTATCATGCCTACGTCCCTTGTCCATTTCTGTTCAAGTTAACTGTTTTCGCCGCTCTTCTTTTTGCGCAAGGCGTTGACAAAAAAAAAAACTTTTTGGATTGTTCGGCTATTATATTAAAAAAACTACTTTTTTAATTTTGGGGGTCGAAATCCAAAATTTTAAAAATCCGAGATCAAAATGTTGTAGCTCTTTTGATTGTACACCTTTTATGTCTTAAACATTGTTCTGTATCTCTAAAGCTGTAGGTCTGACAGCTCTTCCCGCAAAACTTTTTTGTCAAAAATGGCAGAAATGACGTCACTCTGACGTCATAAGCGGCCAACCTATCATAGCCTTTGGAAAAAATGCTCGGTCACAATGTGCCAAAGCTATTCACGGGAGGGTACTAAAAGTTTGGTGACGATCGGCGCAGCGGTTCTGGAGATATATCGAAAAAACTAAAGGGAGGGCAAAAAATGCGCCCCCCCCCCCCCCCCCACCGCCTGGAAGGTAAAATGACTTAAGAGGAAATATATTAGATTTAGACATTAGTCAGTTTTTAACCACTCACATGAAACATATATATATATTTTACATTTCTTTGAAAAATACTAACTTCAACAATCAATATTGCTTACCAAAGGTGAAGGAATCGTAGCGTACACCACACCATCTCCCTCCGTTATAGTTGATGACAGTAACGGGCATATCGGCGAGGGCTTTAGAGGAAAGTGAACGTTGCTGTGTATCGTATAGTGTCTGTTGACTGCTGGTTGATGAGAAATGCAAGGTTTTAAAAAGGAAAGTGAGCGAATTTGAATCACTTACGTCAAACATCAAACTTACTTTTTTGGAGGTCTTGACTCTGTGTAGAAGGGACTCAGGATGTCCAATGTACTGCCGATGCTAGCTCCTGCCAGCCATACGTGCAAGAGCAGGGTAGGGAACTCTCCAGTGATGTAGTTGACTACTCCTGTTGGCACCTTGCCAACCTTCTCTCGTCCCTCCTTCGAGATATCATTGAAGTGGTGGACCTGTAAAGAGCATGAAGCAAAAAGCATGAATAAATAATGCACAGCGTTAGTTGTAGAAGTGGCGTCAGCCTTTCCTTTCGGCATCGCTGAGCAATCAGGTGTAGCCAGAAGCCTGCCACTAATAGGGACATAACTGTGACTGCTACGGATTACCATAAATAAAGGCTTAACCCTCGCCGGCACAGGCCATTTTGCGTCCTTCGACGGCACAAGGGGGGGGGGGTACGACCCCCCCCCCCCTCGCGGTTGGCCCCTGATGGAGCTAGAGCTTCGCGGAAAAAAAACGAGCGTGTTGCCCGTCACGAGAGGAAGCCGCCGATGATACCCAATTTTAAGGTCCTAGGTCATCGGGTGACCTTCCAGGTCAGGTCAATGACCCGAAAACCGGGAAAATCGGGACCTGTTAGAAAGTGTGCCTGCTGTGTGGTTTTCTGGGGTTCTGATCACGAATATCGTGTTAGTTTTGATCAGAGATGATGTCTTTAAGCATTTAGACCAGGTCGGGTCAGGTCAGGTCAGGTAAACCGGTAGGGGTTGTGACGGGTATTCGTAATACGTGTCAACCGCCTCTGACAGCTTCGTAACATGTTACGAAGGTACCTTCGATAATGTTCAAATGGTTGCTAAATTCGAATTCAGCTCCAAAAACTAGCCTAGAAACATGTAAAACTCGAAAAAGTGAACCGAGGTCACCCGAGGTCACCAAAGGTCAATGACCTCAGGGCTGGTAAAAAAGCAACTTGCGTCCCCGACCAAAAAATGAGAGCGAAAAATGACCCCGACCTTTTTACGATTCATGTAGGTATGCAGTCTGCATGCAACTACGATGCGCGTTTCCTTAGGTTTCATTTCTATATTATTATTTTTTACGAGCAGTCATATGTACTAAATTGCTTATCAGACTCGCGCTTCGAAATTTCCAGTTTGTTAATTAAATGTCACGGCATCACTCGGTCAGCGGGTAGCGTACCAGACGAAGAACCCGGAAAGGGTAGGGGGCGCTACGATCGTCGAACAGATGCAATAGGTGTCGCTATTGTATCGGTAGCTCACAACGACGACGGCTAGAAACTATCCACCCCGCATGAATTTACCATGTCCCCCGGTTCCGAATCTAGTCGTTTGTCTAGTCGTATAGCTGGCTACAACTGGTCGTCAATCAACCCCGCTTGAAATAGCACAGCCGACAACGGGGTCGGTGTCTAAGCGTCTGTTAGTATGTGTTTGATCATCTAGTTTGATCTAGTTTTCGTTAGCGACTGTCGACGGTAGTTTTGCTGTTAACCCTCGCCCCGTTGGGGGGGGGGCCATTTTGGCCCCCCTGTGGTTTTTCCTGAATAGCAAGAAAACGGCGGCGCGCAGCGCCGCCAAATTTTCAGTACCTTCCCGGGCATCAATTTGACACCTTCACACCAAATTTCAAGTCTTAGGTCACCTTAGGTCAGGAGTTATTGAGGTCAAACTGAGGTCATGTTCGAGGAAAAATGAGCAAAAAACATGCAATCTTGAAACGCTCACCAAATCTACAGTTATCAAGCAATTTCAAAGTTCTTTATATGGTCTTGTAGACAAAAACTGGCGCTACAAAACTACTATCTCGGATTTTCAAAATTTTTGGTTTTTGACCAAAAAAAATTCAAAAAATTGATTTTTTTAAGAAAAACTTTAAAAAAATCCAAAATTTTTCCGAATTTCCAAAAAACCGGAATATATGTGATAGTCCCAGCGCTCTTCTATATACATACCAAATTTCAGATCGATATCTCGTTTTTTGGCCAAGTTATAGCGAAAAAAACTGTTCAAAAATGATGACGTCAAATTTTTGAACTCAATTTTTAGCAATTCTAGACCACGTACGGCAAAACAAAGACCACCATTGAACTCCCCGTGACGAGCTGCATCGATTCGATACCCATTTTATGCAAAAATATTAACTTTGAAATTTGACCTAATTTGACCTGACCTTGACCTGACCTTGACCAAAACGTGATCTAAGCTGGCCCCAAAGGCTGCCTGACCCATATAATCGCATTTGTCATGTAAAATGGACCATAAAACATGTATCACACGACACTTTCATATTGTGACCCCCCCCCCCCCCGTGACCTGACCTCTGTGACCTGACCTGGTATCAGTGACCTCAAATAGCAAAATATGTGTTTGAAGAACATTTCCCCATCGATGATTTTCAAAAAAATGCATTTTACTCGATTTTACAACGTATTTCTTGAAGTGCCTGTAAACGGTGAAAATTGGACCTTTGACCTGACCTGTGACGTCATCGGTTTGACCTAGGTCAATAAAATTGGGTCACAAGATAGTTCCCCGTTGGGGCTATCCAACGCCGTTTACCGCTTGTCGCTATGTTGCGTGGTTCTCGAGATCTTAGGGGGGGCCAAAATGCCCCCCCCCCCAACCGGGCGCGTTGCTCGGCAGAGCCCAACGGGGCGCGGGTTAACGGAAGTGAGTTGTGGCTACTAATTGTTCATAACCATGTTGTAGGTATGTATTAGGTATAGGGGCTTTTTATGTCCTTGTTAAAGGGGATATACGTTGTGGATTCAATGATATCTTTTACTTGCGTTTAGTTTCTGCTTTATTTGAAAGTTTTTTATTACTGTAAAAGTTTACTAAATGTGGTAATTTTGACCCCGGGTACTTGAACTTTTACTGGTACTGTGTCCCCGACGACGTCAATAGGACATAACACTTTACCAGCCCTGAATGACCTGACCTGACCTTCAGGTGACCTTGACAGTTGACACCCACCCTAATGTATGGGAGCAACATCAAATCACATGTTTGAACGTTTGAAACCACGAAAAGCTTGCAAACGCGCGGCTAATGCGAGCCGACATGCGCCGAATCGCGATTTCGGCCAAACATGGTCATGGAAAAGAGGTCACAGGTCAAAGGTCATTGGGGTCAGGGTCATGAAATTTTCAGGGAACGTGTAAAATTGATCAATGCGAGGGTACTGAAAGTTTCGTCACGATCGGCCGCTTTTTACGCGAGTTATTTGCGAAAAACCTTAGAGGGGGGGTTGCATCAACCCCCTGTGCCGGCGAGGGTTAAGAAAGAACCTTTGAACCATAAAAACTACATCATTAGAATACAATATGAAAGTGTCGTGTGATACATGTTTTATGGTCCATTTTACATGACAAATGCGATTATGTGGGTCAGGCAGCCTTTGGGGCCAGCTAAGGTCACGTTTTGGTGAAGGTCAGGTCAAGGTCAGGTCATGTCAGGTCAAATTTCAAAGTTGATATTTTTTGCATAAAATGGCTGTGGATTCGATGCAGCTTGTCACGGGGACTCCAATGGTGGTCTTTGTTTTGCCTTACGTGGTCTAGAATTTCCAAAAATGAAAATTTGACGTCATCATTTTTGAACAGTTTTTTCCCTATAACTTGACCAAAAAACGAGATATCGATCTGAAATTTGGTATGCATATAGAAGCCGATAGGTACTATCACACATATTCCGTTTTTGCGAAACTCAAAAAACTTTTTGGATTTTTTGGCTATTATATCCAATTTTTTATTTTTGGGGATTTAAACTGAAAAAATCCGAAAAACAGTTTTGTAGCCCTGTCAATTCCACACCTTTTATGTCTTAATCATTTTTTGTATCTTAAAAGCTGTAGGCCTGACAGCTCTTCTCGCGAAGGTCTTTTTTCGGTCGAAAATTGCAGAACATGACGTCATTCTAACGTCATTTGTGGCCAACCTATCATAGCCTCTGAAACCATTTTTTGGTAAAATGTGTAAAATTGATGCCCAGAGGCGTCCTAAAAGTTTTGTGGCAATATCTTTAGTCGTTCAGGAGGTATCGACGGAAAAGGACAGGGGGGCCGTTTCGCCTCCCCCCCCCCCCCCCTCCTACGGGGCGCGGGTTAAAAGAACCATTATACTTACGAGTGTTCGCTTGTACTGGGCTCTGTGCTGTGGTCATATTGTTTCCTAGTGTTACGTGCCAATTTGTCGAAAATTGGTGTAGCATGCGATATTTAACCTTCATGACCTCTGGTGGCCTGACCCTTTGCCTGACATAAAAATAACAGCATCGTTGTGAGATTTGATGCGTGTGAATGTCAGTTAATGCTTGTCGCTACGTTTCCGAAGATGGGAGTTAGAAGGGGGCATAAAACATCCCCCTGTACCAGTCCACGGAAAATTTAGTCCACCAGCATGTGGGGGAATTTCAGGTATTTAACATTTGTAAACCGAGCTTTAGTGCAGAAGGAGTAGATCATCAAAAGTGGGAGTAGTGCAGTGTGGACTGGTGCTGATCTGTGTAGCGCTTCTTCGAGATACCATCTTGGATGTGCATTGTGCAATGTGCATTGTGCATCGAGAAACTTCTACTCTACGAAATGAGGTGTTGACAAATCGACCGTTGTTGGTGGTGCGACGCTAAGGCCTGCAAAACATGAAAAATAAGCAAAGATAATAATATTTTCATCACCTTGTTTCTTATTAACCTAAGAAGGTCTGCAGTGGTCTCATGGTAGCTTTTGAAAGCCCCTTGATCCAGAGTGGCGTCGACGACTTTCTTCCATTCTTTCAGTTTGACCAGTTCTGTGACGAACGCAAGATCGAGTTCTTCATTCACTTCTTCTTTCAGCAGAGGGCCATGTTCTTTGTCGTCTTTGATGCAGTCGCTGACAACCTTAGGGCAGTACAAAACCACAATTACAATCACTGACGAGGATCGTCTTTAGGTTTGCTGACATACCACGCAAATGTTGGTTATCGTTTGTTACTTTTTTTTCTCCAAACACAGTGATCAAGGTCGTTTTGTACCGGAGGTTTTGTGTGTAATTTACAATAAGAAACACTTAAATCATGTACTTCTGTACTTACTACCCTGTCGTGGTTACAATATATCTTAACCCCTGTTTGCCCCTAAAAGGCGTGTTCCTTGAATTAGGTAAATTCGGTGAATTTGAATCTTACCTGGAAAAACTTCTCCGTATTCTCTGTTGTCCACAAAGCCGGATGGTTGACCACGTAGGTGGTTGATGGTCTTTCTGTTGGATCTTGCTGTATCATTTCTTCCATCAAATGCCTTGCCGCCACGTTCACATATTTGGGATCTTCGATGTTCGCGAGGCTGAAAAATGAAAGGTTTTTCAGGAAACACACGTCATGTTAACCCTCGCCCGTCCGTTGCCCCCTACCCCCCTAGAGCTCCGCGGAAAAAAACGAGCTTGTTGCCCGTGACGAGTCGAAGCCGATGATATCCAAGTTTAACCCGCGCACCGACGGGGGGCGGATATCCGCCCCCCCCCCCCCTGAGGTTTTTCGCCAATAGCGGGAAAACCGCGGCGCGTGGCGCCGCGAAATTTGGTACGACTATTCTCTCATCAATTTTACACATGGTGTGCAAGTTTGAATCTCCTAACTTTTAAGGTCAGGTCACCAGGTCACTTTGAATGACCCAACCTCAAGTCACTTTTTTGCAACTTTGTCACCGTGCCAGAGCTACAGTAGATGTCGGAGGCCTTTGAAAGTCGCAGGATGTTATAAGGTTATTAGTAGCTACAATTTTGTTATCTCGGAATTTTGATATCGATGACCTAAGGTCAGGTCAATTTCTCGACCTCCCCATTATAAGTCAATGGGGGAAAAATCAACTCCCTGTTTTTACCACTAAAACGGGTCGGAATGGCCCCATAAACCATACATGACCTCATATACGATCAACCTTCACTACCTTGAGGTCTGTTTTGCTGTTGGGCAGCTGTAAGGTCATGTGACGTCATCAAAGGTCACCAGCGGTTTTTTGACAATAACTCCGTACAGGAACAAGATACAGCCGCGCAGATGGTCTCATTGTGTTCAGCTCGTCAAGGCGCATCGAATGATATACATGATGACCTCGAGGTCACGTGACCTGAGGTCAACCTTTGACCTTGACCTTTCGAGGTCAACATATATATATATCATTCGATGCGGATTGAAGAGAGGATCACGATGCTGCCCTTAGTTTGTTCCTATATTGACTAGTTCGAAAGTTATTGGAGAAAAACTCTCCATACCTAGCGCCGCCATTTTGACTTTTTTCACCCCCTGTGACGTCATCTTTGACCTGACCTGAAAATGACCTTAGGAAAAATTGTAGACCTTGTCCGTGCGCCGAGCCACCTGGGGGCATACCTTCTCTGTAAAATTCCCAATTGTGTCCCGAAGTGTCCCGAATGAGTCCCGATTAGTGTTGAAGGTATAGCCGCATTCGGGACGATTCGGGACTAATTCGGGACACTTCGGGACTAATTCGGGACACTTCGGGACTCTTCGAGACAATCGACACATCGAGGCGATTCGGTCGCTGATTGGCTGAGACGGGGGCATAACTCGGTCGCTGATTGGTTGGTGCCGCCAGCCGACGATACCGGCGCTCCGCCGCAGAGGCGGCGGTTGCAGTCGCAGCTGGGGACGGCCGGCGGAGACGGCGGTAGTGGCGGCGGCCGCCCAATAGATAGTTATATCTATTATAATATTATCATATATATTATTAGATATATAATTAATCTGGGGTATTTAGTACGCAGTGCAATATAAACATATTTGTTCGTTAGCGTCCATAATGTCTCTGTCTGAAGCCAAAGAATGATGTTATTTAGCTTCCAACTTGACCACAGTACAGCGTGTCCCAGAATTGACCGAACACTGTTAATCAGTGCATAAGATAAAGGAAAAATAATTGCACTTTTTTCTTTTTATCGTCCGATATAGCCAGTAAGGGTAGCTTCGAAATAGCACATGCAATAGACACGGTAGCTACAACATTAGCCGCCAATTGTAGCTAAATGCCAGACGATGCTGGCTTCAGTCGTTTTACGGGTCTCCCGAAACTGGTTGTAAGACGGTTTTCATTGACCTCTTGCCGGTGGATAATATGAATATTTTCGATTAACTTTGCATCCAAACTGTTCCTAGGCCATAAGGCATTCTCTCCCAAACCAAAAATTCTGCCTACACCACTGTTGCGCTGTTTTTTTTTTTTTCGCATCTGAAGTGGAGAGCCTCCATGCCTGAACATGGCGTGACCTTTGGCTTCCAAAAGATTTGGTTACCAAAATAAACCCGTTTATGGCCATTCAGTTCACAACCAGTTTTTGTAATGCTTGAATATTACCACAGTAGCAATCTGTGTTAACGGTCGCCTTTGGGGCATCACGTGAAGCTGAATTAGTGCACCGTGGCTCAAAATGTCTCACACTTTGATTTTCGACGAGTGCATGACCGTCTCCGCTGTTGGGGCGTTGTCAGTATCTGACGTCCACACACGACTTTTTTTTGTCGCTTCAAAGGGCAGAATACCTTCGTAGGACCACAAGGTGTGTTTCCATTCACTTTTTTGTTGCATATGTTATGATTTATGACTGCTTTGTAGCGATTTGCGCTGTCTTTCCGTTAGTTTTGGCATATTTTTCAGATGAGGGGCCCAAATTCCAAAATTTTGTCAAAGATAGTGGTCAAAAGAAGACTGATGTTTCGTAGCTAACCCTGATCTGTCGTTTAGCTTGTTTTTTGGGTAGATGGGTGACGTTTGTTGTCCATGACATGGCAACCACCCGCTTGACGACTGGTGCATGCTCCTTTTTGGTCGCGCCCAGGCTTGTCGATCAGGTTATCTCTTGCTCTCTTTGGCCTCGCTCGCTGATATAACTGCGGTTTGCTCACCCCTGCCTGCTTGCAAATGAGCTACTGGAGCTCTCAAGCAAGAACCATGCCAAAAGTCCGTTTACGAACTTCAGAATTGCACTTTATTCACCAGGATTGCCTTTTGTTGGCTGAGGCTGAAAACGAAAAGGGACTACTCTTTGCTGACTCTGGATAATAACTGACTCGAGTCGTGACCGGTCACCAGAAACACACAGTTTCCAAGCTAGATAGCTAAAGTATGTCTTATAAAAGTTTAAGGCTCGTATCTGATTAGAATCGAGCGCAATCGTACTTTAAGCCAGGAATTAAATGTTCGGTCAATTCTGGGACACCCTGTATATGCTAAGCGAAATAGAGAAAGAGGCAGAACAAGGGCGGATAAATCAGGCGACAGCGTGGGTATTAGAACATGCTCGACAACAAGTGACATGCTCGCGGGTATACCTACTGTATATTTTACAGTCCCCCCAAAATCTCCATGCCCCTTTTTTCTTCCCACTCCAAAAAAATGAGCCCTTCTAAACACATGGGAAAGCACGATAGAATGCACCGGATGGTATATACTAATAGTTTTTGTAAATGGCCCAGAGTGTATAAAGCACATTGATGCACTCGTCGGCTAATTTAAGCACTCGTGCACAAATAGACTCGCTGCGCTCGTCTACATATTTGTGCACTCGTGCTTAAATTAGCCTGACTCGTGTATCAATATGCTTTATACGGGCCCGTATTCACGTCGACATCTTACGATCAGTTTTCATCGTACGATCGATTTGGTATTCATGTTGACCATCTTAACTTTTTATCGTACGATCAGTCTGGATATTTAGGATACTTCTAATTCACGTTGACAATCTTAAGATAATTTGGTATTCATGTCAAAAGTCCTAGGTTTCATCCTACGACCCAACTTAAGATGTCGTAGCAGTTCCGAAGATTTGATTTTTAGCAGCATATTCCGGGACGACATAGAAAATGGATCCTCCGTCAAATGATATAGCAAACGAAATATATTCAAAAATCAAACTTAACATTATAAAGGTACCACAGATTTAGTATGCTTCAAAGTTATTATGGAAATTATTTTACCATTAGGTATTATGGAAACTATATTAATATATTACAAATGATCATATGAAAAATATATTGATAAAATATGCATTTTAACCCCCGCCGGCACAGGGGGTTGATGCAACCCCCCTAAGGTTTTTCGCGAATAACTCGCGTAAAAAGCGGCCGATCGCGACGAAACTTTCAGTTCCCTCGCATTGATCAATTTTACACCTACCCTGAAAATTTCATGACCCTGACCCAAATGACCTTTGACCTGTGACTTCTTTTCCGAAACCATGTTTGGCCGGAATCGCGATTCGGCGTATGTCGGCTCGCATTAGCCGCGCGTTTGCAAGCTTTTCGTGGTTTCAAACGTTCAAACATGTGATTTGATGTTGCTCCCATGCATTAGGGTGGGTGGGGCCATTTACAAATATTGCTCAATCCTAACTGCTTGCAGATGAGCTGCTGAAGCTCTCCAGCAAAAACCATGCCGAAAGTCCGTTTACAAAGTTGAGAACGGGAGTTGATTCACCATGGTTGCCTATTAGTGGCTTAAGCTGAAAACGGAAAAAGACTACTCTTACTTGACTCTGGATAATATGTTGATTCGAGTCGTTACCGGCCACCAAAAGCACACAGTCCCCAAGCTCGATAGCTAAGGGATATCTGATAAAAGTATGATGCTTGCATATCATTAGAAGCGAGCGCAGTCGTACTTCTAGCCAGAAAATAAATGTTCGGGTAAGTCTGGGACGTATGTACACTGGTACTTACGTACACTCATCTCATTTTAGTTGTGTGTCTATACCGGGTCTGACATGAGTTTTGTCGTATCAAAAATATGTTAAAAACTCTGTAAAATGCCATACAGGGTGTTGCAGGTAAATTGGGAATTTTCAAACCTAATTTCAACATGCTATTAATACGGTGAATGAAAACATAGAAAGTTGAAACTTCGCACGTGTATTGTGTCATGTACGCACAGCCTTGTCACTCGATGTGACCGCCGTCGGCGTCCCGCACCCTCTCGAGACGGCGCCGGAAAGCGGAGCACGCGCGCCGGGCCTCGTCCTGGTCAATGGTGCTGACTGCCTTCCTGATGGCCTTCTTCAGGTCAGAAACGTTGGCATGAGTGGTCGAGTTGGACTTTTGTTCTACCACGCCCCACATCCAGAAGTCGCATGGATTCAAGTCAGGCGAGTTGGAGGGCCATATGTCCTTGGGTACATAAAGGGGGATCCTCTGGCTCAGGAAATCTTGCACCCTCTGGGAAGCATGTGCTGGGGCGGAGTCTTGCACCAGCATGACTTTGCTCAGGTCATAGTATTTCATCATCCAGGGGATGAGAGACTCCTTCAGGATGGTCAAATACGCGTCAGTGTCGAT